GCATGCACCCTATAGCAAAAACCTCTCCAAAAAAAAGGAAAAATATATATATTTATATACACACATACAAAAATCAAAGGATGGGGTAACGGAATTTCAAAGACCTGATATGAAATAGAATTTAAGTAAGAATATGTTTTAGCACAGAAAATGTGAAATCCATGCATAGTATATCATGATATATATTTTCCATGAGATTATTGAAAATATGTATATATACCATAAAGAAAATTCTTGGCAGAAACAGAACACTAAAATTTTTGAGTGATCAAACATAAAACACACACACACACATGCATGCAAACTCAAATACACACACAAATGCAAAACAAAATCAGGGAATGAGGCAAAATAAACTATTTGGAATATTTAAACAAAACTTGTGAAGAAAGCCACATTTTTAGAGTGGCTAATGGCTACCATATGGAACAGGGCAGCGAGTCCATAAATAGAAAACAAGCTTGCTTTATCATTATGCAGAGATACTAATAAAGAGTGGGGGAAACAGTCAACAGTTTCCCATGGTGCTACAGTGGGCAGGGTGAGGGTTCCTAAGCTTCCCCATAGGCCTGGGTATGTCCGGAGAAGGTACCTGAAGCAGAGGCCTGCTCACAGTGCCAACACAGCCCTCCCCAGCACACACCGCCTGCCTTAGGGCATACACTGAGTCCGGGGACCCCAACTCAGCTACAGGTTCCCAGGAGATAGGAGTGTGCTTCAGGAGGAACTTCACGCCACAAACCCACACAGGGGATGCTCAGCTGGGTGCATGAGGACCCCATTCAGTAACCCAAGGATGGAGTGCTCATCCAATGGCTCGCTGGTTATTAGCTGGGAAACAAGTCCAGTCGCATCGTGACCTCCCACCTGGCAAAAGAGTAAATTGCAAGTAGACCCGCGAGACAGAACGTTCAATAGAAAGCTATGGAAGCATTGGGAAAGGGCCAAGGAGACTCTTTCTGTAATCAGGCCGGGGTAGGGGGAGGAAAGGCTGCCCCAAGGCACACACGAAAACAAGAGGCAGTAAGGAGAAACGACCCTGCAGGGTGAAAAGGAGGTCATGAACAGAGCGAGGAGGGGCGAGGGCCACTGCGAGGAGGTGCAGGTGGCTTCCGACACAGACAGGGAAGGGGCCTACCGTCTGCAGGGCTGTGCTGGACTCTGGTGCAGCATCCGTCTGCGTCTCAGACTGCTCGGTGTCCCAGGGGGAGGAAGGCAGGAGCCTTCCACCAATCCCCACCATAGCTGCTCCACTCTTGTG